TCTGCATTCGTGCTACACGCATGTCACGTTTTTTTTTTTTTTTTGGTTTCGTGAGTACTACCTGAAAGGAAGGTGATGCAACTAATTTTCTAGTAACATAAAGAAGACGACTGCAGTGGAATCATCGATCAGCAATTCACAGAAGCGGTAAGCACGGTACGCTTTATTGTGGATACATATCCAATCCGATCGACCTGATCTGATCGCAAGCATTTATACGAATCAATTCGTCCACTGCTTTAGGAAAGCTGCCATTTTTTCTCGCGGGAAAGCTGTCATTTATGAAAAAAAATATATGAGACCAGGTCTCATATAAACCAGGTGAGACCCGCCCTGATGGATGACATGTGACATTCACAAATCACAAAGCATCTAATCTCTTTCCCCCTGATTTCATTTTAAATGAGGGGTGGGATAGATGCTTTGTGATTTATGAATGTCACGTATAATCTATCAGGATGGGTCTCACCTGCTAACCCGTGAGACCTGGTCTCATAAAATTATTTTCCGCCATTTATCAGGACACTACTAATCTACTTGACATTGTGAGGGAGCTGCACGGCCCAACGGGTCATGCTCCTAACATGCACCCGCAGAGACTTCCCCCTCAAGCCACGAGGCACACCTGTCGCCTGGAAGGAGAATCCCCGCCCCACCCCGCCACTTACAAAGTAGGCCCGTATATCCCAGCAAATGGCCTTCGCCATCAGCGCAACCGTCGCGTGTAATCCCGCCGCGTAATCGCGATTAGTATCTTGAGCGGCAAGGGAAACCTGACGAGGCGGGGTCCACGGACTCCTCTGCCCACTGACATGCGGGACCACCTGAGCCCTGGCCCACCGGCCAGCGACGGGCGGGCTCGAGATGACGGGGCGAATTAACGCGATTCTCGTGAACTCATTTGACGAACCGGAAAGCGCGGGCAGGCCGCGCCGCGTGACGTGAAGGTAGTCGCACGTTTACCGGCCACGGCGGACAAAATTACTGTTTTGACCCTTAAGCCAAAGTAAATCCCGATTTGACCTCGGTTCGAAAAAAATTTCATTTCTGACCTTTTTTGGTGACGCCAAGGTCCCTGGCGTCTGGGTTACGAAGCAGACGCCAGGATCCCTGGCGTCTGGCCCCTGGCCCGCACTGCCCGCCTGCCAGTTGACCTGCTGACGTGGCAAAGGGGCCAGACGCTAGGGACCCTGGCGTCTGGCCCCGGTAAGTGGATAACCCCCGCGGGCCGAGCCCACCCACCCACCCATCTCTTTCTTCCTCCCTGCGGCGCATGAACATAGGAGGTTTCTCCTTCGCCCCTCTTCTCCCTCACACCAATCCCCCCCTTGACCTACTTCATCCTCCACCCAAAGTTGTGGATCTGAGCCCCCCAAGCTTCTTTGAGGTATTCTCCCCCATTCCCTCCAATTTGTTTTGCTTTTCCCCTCTTTTGTTGGATGCATTATTTCACATTAGGTGATGTTAGATTAGTAGATGGTTTCTTTGTTTTAGGAAATAGTTTGTAGTTGATAGATGATTTGGTAGGTAGTGTAGTTGCTAGATGTTTGTAGTTGTCCACCAATAGACATAGTTTGTGAATTTTTTTTGAATTATAGATGATATATGCATATGCTAGTGGATTTGGTTCTTCTCCTTTGTGAATCCATCCTCGTCCAACTGTTCAACTGGACCCTCGTCATCCGAGTCATACGCATATTGACGCCTAAAAGGCAAGTCACGATCCATGTCCTTTTGCGCTATGTACACATCCAAGTCACCAACATCATTGCCATGAAACCCTTCCTCTTGCTCTTCGTTGTCATCATAAGCATCTTCATCCTCTTGAATTACTCCGTCACTAGCAATCACCTCAACTTCATTTACTTGGCTAGTTGGTGGTTGGCTAGAAGCATTGGGGACATACAACTCAACCTCATTTGCTTGGCTAGTTGGTGGTTGGCTAGAAGCATTGGGGGCATACAACTCAACCTCATTTGCTTTGATAGTTGGTACACGGGGACGTGGTGGGGGATAAACATTGGGGGCATCAACCACAACCCTATGCTCAACAAGTGGCACCATTGTCCTCTCGCTCATGTCATCCATTGGGGAAGAGACATGCCGGTTCAAATCAAAGGTAAACCGAGGAGATTCAACCTTGGTGGCAAACAATTCAAGTGACTTGTCTTCTGATTGGGATACTTTTTCCTTGTATACATCCCAATGCAAATCCGAGGTGATAGGCATACTTTTCAAGCGAGATTTGGCTCCAACTCCAACATCATACCTTCCTATTAACTTAACATCAACATTGGTGTCCATCCATTTCAAGACTTGTCTCACTTTTGCAACAACATCCTCATAGCTAGGGCTTCTATCAAAAACCAATGGTTCCTCACCCGTGTCGGCATTGTTACTCAAGAATGCCTCCTTGTCAATGTAATGAACATTAACAAGTCTCTCCATCTAAAAATAACATGAATGCATTTAAGACTTCAATGAGAATTGGTGTTTATCCAAATACATCTTATTATATCCAAATCATATCAACACTAAATTATTGGTGATGTCCACAAAAGTATCACTAATCACTAATTAACACACTAAGCAAAGTTAACCCTAATCACTAACTAACCCTAACCCCCAATCTTTCTACTCAACAAACATATATTCCTACTATACACCATGCATAGCACTATATTATCAAAGTTAACCAAGCCATTCACACTAACATAAGGGGGAGAAAACATGAACTAGGGTTCCACCAACATGTATAAAATGCAACCAAAATAATAAGACTTAACAAAAAATAATTGGATGATTTGGGAGAGATTAACAAGAGCAACAAAGTGATGGAAAGATCCACCTAAGGGATGTACCTTTTGGAGAGGATTTGAGGGGGGAGCTTGAGGGGGGAGCTTGAGGGGTGAGAGAGAGTGGGGAGGCAACAGCTCTTCTTCAAGCTCGGGCTGGATTGGGGAAAGTGTGTGGGGTGGGACCCACACACTCTCCCGGTGGGGTTATCCACTTACCGGGGCCATACGCCAGGGTCCCTGGCGTCTGGTCCCTTTGCCACGTCAGCAGGTCAACGGGCAGGTGGGCAGTGCGGGCCAGGGGCCAGACGCCAAGGACCCTGGCGTCTGCTTCGTAACCCAGACGCCAGGGACCTTGGCGTCACCGAAAAAGGTCAGAAACAAATTTTTTTTTGAACCGAGGTCAAATCGGGATTTACTTTGGCTTAAGGGTCAGAACAGTAATTTTGTCCGCCACGGCCGCGCTGTCGCGCCTTTCCTCGCGCTTTTATTCCGCAGCCTCCCGCCCCTCTCCTTCCTCCCGCCGTCGTCGCGCCGGGCTCCACCTCCACGCACCCACCACACCATTAGAGGCTCCACTCGCCGCCAACTAGTGCTGCTACGTACTGCCACCGGTCGCAATCCCCGCTCGGAATTCCCCACCACCACCGCCACCGCGGGCGGAAAGCGGGACCTTCTTCCCTTTTCGCTTATCTTTCGCTCCGCTCCTTCCGTTTCTCGCTCAAGCCGCTGCCGCACTAGGAGCAGTGCTGCAGCAGCAGCAGTACGTAGCAAGTAAGCAAACTGGGCTTCTGATGTCGTCGCCGCCCGCCGCGCCGGGCCCGGCTTCGCCGCCGGGGAACCGCACGGCCCCGCCCCCGGCCTCGGCTCCGCCCGCTACCAACTCGACGCCCCCTTCGCCGCCGGCGCCAGCGGCATCCTCGCCGCCGCCCTCTTCTCCCCTGCCACCGCCGTCGACGCCCGCCGCGCCGCCCCCGTCCTCCGGCACCACTCCCGCGACGCCCTCCCTCCCGCCTCCCACGGCCCCCGGGGCGCCCGCCGCGCCGTCTCCCCCGTCGACCACGCCGTCCCCGCCGACCGACCGTCCGACGCCGTCCGCCCAGGCCTCGCCGCCGCCGCCGAGCTCGGCGCTCAACACGGCCACGGTGGCGGGGATCGCGGTGGGCGGGCTGATCGCGCTGCTGCTCGCCAGCCTGCTCTGCTTCTGCATGCTCAAGAAGAAGAGGCGGCACCACCCGCACCACCCTCCGCCTCCCCCGCCGCCCCACCACCTGCACTACTACGGGCACCCGCCGCCGCCGCCGCCCCCGCCGCCGTTCAAAGGTGAGATGGCAGCTGTGCACCCTCCATGACTCTTTGTCTCGGAGCAGATACAGTACAGTACAGATTTCATGTGCGTTCTTTGTCTCACTAGCAAGTCACATCGCTGTCGCTTGCAATTATCCCGCTGTTCTTGGCAAATGTGCGTTGGCTTATGACGTACAAGTATGACTTACGTTCCAGTTTTCTGGTGCCTTCAAGATGGGTCCTCTTTTAATCATGCTATTATGGCGTCATGGACATCAAAATACTGCTCCCTCCCTTCGGAATTACTCGTCCAAGAAATGGATGTATCTAGATGTATTTTAGTTATAGATAAATTCATTTTTATCCGTTTTTATGACAAGTAATTCCGGACGGAGGGAGTAGTAATTTCCATCAGAAATATATTATGTCTTAACTTATGCTTATTAAATATGGCTAATTTTAGTAGTACTATGGGGTAGTGATCACAGGAATCTTCATCTGTGTTTGAGATAATCCTAATGGGAATTTTGACAAAAGAATAAAATAATGAACGTTAGGTCCGATTATTTCTTTCATTCTTCTTCATGGAATCTGATTTATACTCCCTCCGTTCGGAATTACTCGTCAAAGAAATGAACGTATCTAGATGTATTTTAGTTGTAAATACATCCATTTTTGTGACAAGTAATTCCGAACGGAGGGAATACAAGGCAAATCTGTGAGGGAAAGTATGTCTTAACTTATGCTTATTAAATATGGCTAATTTTAGTAGTACTATGGGGTAGTGATCACAGGAATCTTCATCTGTGTTTGAGATAATCCTAATGGGAATTTTGACAAAAGAATAAAATGATAAACATTAGGTCCGATTTTTTTTTCATTCTTCTTCATGGAATCTGATTTATACAAGGCAAATCTGTGAGGGAAAGTATGTCCTCCTTTTCGAAGTGAGTTAGCAACTTAGTATCAGCATTGAAAATGTGTTTACTTCATTCTTAAACTTCGTGCAATCATTTCTTGTTTATTAGATTTTGCAACAGGGAATCCGTTTGTAATTGTTATTGTTCAACACGAATCACTCTCATCTTTAAGTACGATTCTTGTTCTTCTGCAGGGGATCAATATGGGTGGCAGCATAATGCCCCTCCACCACCCCCTGATCATGTCGTGAAGATGAATTCACATCCTTCCTCTAAACCGCCACCTCCTCCGGTCAATGTAAACAGCAGTGGTTCGGGTTCACATTTCTCAGGTGGTGGTGAGAACAGACCCCTGCAATCACCGTTTGGCAACGCCCTCAGCTTCTCGAAATGCACTTTTACTTATGAAGAGTTGGCCGTGGCGACCAATGAATTCTCCGATGCTAATCTTCTCGGGCAAGGTGGTTTTGGGTTTGTTCACAAAGGGGTGCTGCCAGATGGCACAGAAGTTGCCATTAAGCAATTGAGAGATGGAAGTGGGCAGGGAGAGCGTGAGTTCCAGGCAGAGGTTGAGATTATCAGCCGAGTACATCATAAACATCTCGTGACGTTAGTTGGTTATTGCATTTCTGAAGACAAGAGGTTGCTTGTCTATGAGTTTGTTCCCAATAACACATTAGAATTCCATTTACATGGTATGGTTTCTCACTATGGTTCAATCATGATTGTTTCTTCTCTTTCAGACTGCTCTTTAATCTTGTCCGAGAAAGTGAACTATGTCATCTTTTGTTTTTTTGGTTCCATATTTTGTACCCATAAATATCCTAGCTATTGCCAGTTTATCATTACCAGTTGCTGTATGAGTTGTTGGTTAGTAAATATCCGGGTGATTTACAAAGTTAAACCTGTGATAATAAATGATTTAAACTATTATTTTGGCTATGAAAAAATAGACCTTGTTCGCGTAAATTGACAATCTAACCAGTTACATTGTTCAGAAAATGAAATGCCATGACTGCAAGAGAGTTTCTTCAATGGTAATAATAAGCACAACCAAACCCATCTCAGAACATGTCAGCTTTATCGCCACCTTTTCTTCAGTCTTTAATAACTTCCGCCGATTTTGTCAAACTGGGAAGATACAACTTTGTTTTTGCTACCACCCGAAAGGGACAATGCTTTCCAGGTTTATTGGTTACCTTTTTCTTGAAGATTCAGAAAACATTGCTCTGAAGCTCCTGTCGTGCAAAAAATCTTCTGTCTTCATTTGGTTTGCATTCTCTTGAGCATTTGTTAATGTCTTCAGGTTATTTTTCACCTCTTTTTCAGGAAGGCGTGGACCAACTATGGACTGGCCTTCAAGACTACGTATTGCTTTGGGTTCTGCGAAGGGATTGGCGTATCTTCACGAAGACTGTGAGCTCACACACACATACCTACTCGTTATGCTTTTCTTTTTCTTTTTCACGTTCAAAAAGGTATGTAGCTGTTCTGTCATGATTTTATTTCTGTACTTCGTAGGCCATCCAAAGATCATTCATCGTGACATAAAGGCATCAAATATTCTTCTGGATTACAGATGTGAAGCTAAGGTATGATACGCATTTTCCTTTTTGTTTCATTTCTACTTGAATTCTGAGACCGTCTTTCTTCCCCTGGTCCCAACTAAGTTTAGCTGCTAGTGTAGTGTAAAATCTTGAATGTCCGTGGTTGATATGAGTAAATTCAGAAACTAAGGTTTACAGTTTTGATAAACTGATGTCTAACCAATCATCATGAAACATAGTTTTTCTTGCGGGATCATAAACATAGTTAATATCAGCCTACTAATACAAAACTGTTGGACGTGTAATTCAGTAAGCAAACCTCTTTTTTACAGGTGGCAGATTTTGGACTTGCAAAGTTAACCTCTGATAATAACACCCATGTTTCCACCAGAGTAATGGGCACATTTGGGTAAGTTCGATCTTCCAGTGAAACTATTTTTTTGCTTTCCGGGACAGTGAAGCAGTATCTCAAATGCTTGAAAATGAGATCAATCATGATGATATATATAGTAAGAAATTGACATGTTGCTAAGGTGCAAGATCTGCTGTATGAAAATTACTGCCCTGATAGTCTTGGTTTTCCCTTTAGGTACCTTGCACCAGAGTATGCTTCTTCTGGCAAGCTAACTGAGAAATCAGATGTCTTTTCTTTTGGAGTAATGCTTCTCGAGTTAATAACTGGGCGCCGTCCTGTAAGTTCAAAACAAGCGCATATGGATGACAGCTTGGTTGACTGGGTAAGTTAAATTTGTTGTCCACCGTTCTGTAACTAGCTGGGTCAAATTCATTCTTGTTGTTTCTAGTCCTATGGGTCTTTTTGGAAGAGGAGTATTTCTTGGTAAAGTTTTGTGTTTACTTCAAATTTGACTTAAATGCCAAAACTTTACCATGAAATACCATTCTTCCAAACACCCCCTAAGGGTTTATGACTTGATAAGATTGACTGTAATTAATCCTGTGACTAAATTCCAATTATATCATTGAGGGCTCTCTTGGACTACTTAACTAACAACCATGGGATCTATTCCTTCATAAGTTACTTGCTATTCCTCGCTAAAATGGACTCGATTTTCTCTGTATGAGGTGCCTTGGCCTTTGCACTTCATATTTTACTCGTTGTATTTATTCTTGTCACAGTGTTTACCATCTTCCAACTTTTTGATGCCGAGTACTCTGTGCCTCTTCAACGAGCATCTGTCTGTCCCTTTCTTTGTCAATGTTCAACCCATCTATTTGAGTTTGATCATCTTCCTTTCTCCCTGCAGGCAAGGCCTTTGATGACACAAGCACTCGAGGATGGTAATCACGATGCTTTAGTGGATCCCCACTTAGGAATCGACTTCAGTGATAACGAGATGGCAAGGATGATCGCCTGCGCAGCCGCATGCGTACGCCATTCTGCACGGCGACGTCCACGCATGAGCCAGGTACATTTCTATACCGGTATCTCTTCTTCCCTTGTATCCTCATCTCGTCGACACAAATTCATCACCCTTTACTTCGACCTCATCGCTATTGTATCCTAGACAGAGCTAAGCTAACCTTGATCCTCTGTGACGAACAGGTTGTTCGGGCCCTGGAAGGCGACGTGTCGCTGGACGATCTGCACGAAGGCGTCCGGCCTGGCCACAGCCGGTTCATGGGATCGCACGCCAGCTCCGAGTATGACACGAGCCAGTACAACGAGGACCTGAAGAAGTTCAGGAAGATGGCGCTCGGCACCAGCAGCTTCCAGAGCAGCCAGCTAACGCCGTCCAGCGACGAGCACGAGCGCCAGGACCCGTCCGTCCAGAGCAGCGACGGTCATCGGCAGACGCAGGAGGTGGAGTTGGGGACTACCAAGAGAGACGACGGCGACGTCGAGAGCCAGACTTCCATGAGATGATGACCCACTTTCCCTTTCGTTGGAGAGAGTTAACCTCAGCACATCATTTGTAAATCCACAGCATAGCTGAATTCACATAAGCTGCCATCTGACTTGGCTGCAACGAACAAAAAATGATTTTTTGTTGTTGAGACATATGGTAGTTTTGTTTGTCTTGACCAACTCGACGCAATTCTACTTGCATTTCCAGTGAGATGCGTGATCATTACATTGGCTGCTGGCCGTCTGAACTCGGTGTCATGCTTGGAAGAAAGCTAACTGGCTAACGAGATGCTGTTGGATTCAGAGCAAGAGCCAGGGAGATACAGTAGGCATGGATTCGTTGGACCAGGCTGTATTTGTTTTTGGTGCAGCCGAAGCATCCCAACGTCTGCTGCAATCATGCAGCTGCGGTTGCGTTCCAGTTAGCTAGCGTATATGATATGAACATGATAATACTTTTTCCAAGATAAAACCAAGTAGCATTCAGAATCTGTTGACGAAAGGTGCCGGTCGGTTTATGCAAGACCGTTGAGTTTCAACGGCATTTCCATTAGTACATGCCAATGTTCTTATGGAGCTAACAAACATTAGGTGTGTCGATCTTAGCCCTCAAACCAAACGCCCCCTGCCTGCATTCATTCCAGCTTATCTTTCTTCGCAAAATCTGTAGTAGTAGGTGCAGAACGAAAGAGATTACAGATAGTAGTCGGACTCGGGCAGTACATTGCTCCATTCTTTATAGAAAAAAAAAGTCGGCAGTAGGGCACTCGAGACACCGTGTGCACATGCACATATGTGTCACTCGGACGCGGATGAACCGCGTACAATAATAATTTTAATTTGAATGATCAAGCTCATACTTGTAGGTAGTACAGAGCCATCAGTTGGACTAAATCTGCCTGTCCCAATCAATCTTATTTTTTTAATTAATTATCATGGACGACAAATAATGAAACAATACTGCTGTCTGTCTGTCTGTCGCCACTCTAAAAATCGACGGAATAATAATTCGCCCGCCCGGCAACGCGTCCATCCAAACATACAGATACAGGTGGAGGCGGAGCGGCGAAGCCTTCCAGCAAAACCGATCCTTCTCCTTTTCCGTGACAACGGCGCGCACACACCAATCCCCGAGCAAAGCAAAGGCCAAACCAGACCACAACACAGCGCAAAAATCTTCCCATCTCCTTCCTCCTCCTCAGCCCCCTCCCCCCGCTTCGCTCGCCCCCTCGCCCCAGATCCGCGGCCATGGCGTCGCGCCGGCGAATGCTCCTCAAGGTCATCATCCTCGGCGACAGCGGGTGCGCGCCTTTTCCCCAGTTTTTTTTTCTTCCTTTTTGCGTGATTTTCCGCTGTCCTCTGATCAACCTGTGCGCTTGTGTTCTCTGATGATCGCCATCAGGGTCGGGAAGACGTCGCTGATGAACCAGTAAGGCCGAACCACCAATCTCGCCCTGTCTGATTCGTCTAATTCGGGCTATTCCTGTGCGGGGGTTTGAACGATTTGGGTGGTTGGTTGGTGTGCAGGTACGTCAACAACAAGTTCAGCAACCAGTACAAGGCCACCATCGGCGCCGATTTCCTCACCAAGGAGGTCAAGATCGACGACCGCCTCTTCACTCTACAGGTTCTTCATTCATTCTACTACTCACAAACGGATAATTAGCTCTGGGTGTATTACATCTTGAACACTAACGGATTCTATGCTGTTAGAGATGTGAGTATGTGACACTTGCGTGAAACCGCAAAGTTCTCATTCTCTGGTTAGTGTTCTGAATTCTTGAATAGGTCCGATGATGATCAAGTTTAGTGGCAGTACTAAACTAGGACCCTTGTACTCTGCAGTTTGTTTATGACAGACAGGTTGAGAAGGTTGATTCCTGAGTTATTCAGGTCAACATAAGCCACATTTTTGGTTTATTATAGAGTTATGTACTTTTGCAAACGTTCTGCTGGTAGGTGCTTATCGGATAGGTTAACGCGATTACAGATGGTTGGATTTTTTTTGGGTAGATTTTCCTTACCCAATTCGAAAGGATATACTTTTGCAAACATCCTGCTGGTAGCCTGGTAGATGCTTATTGGATAGGTTAATGAGATTACAGATGGTTGGATTGTTTGTAGGGTAGATTTTCCTTACCCAATCGAAAGGCACGTTATGTCATAAGAAATTACATCAGTTCAGCTCTAGTTCAGTTGTCCACTTGGTTTGCACTACCTCTATATTACAATTTCTCAAGGATTAGAGGACTGAGACCTACTCCCTTAGTTCCTAAATATAAGTCATTTTAGAGATTTCAATACGGACTACATACGGATGTATATAGACCTATTTTACAGTGTAGATTCGCTCATTACTGGAATCTCTAAAAAGACTTATATTTAGGAACAGTGGGAGTAGTTGAGAGGAAAAAATAATAATTAGAAACGATGCAGGGGAATTGCATGTCAGTGCATTAAGACAGAGAGAAAGCTGTCTTACACTTCCAGTGGCCCAACGCTATATGCATGAACAAAGAAAAATAAAACCTGTCCAAGTCCAGAGGAAACATGAATTTTGCAAAGTTGTGGCTTCAGTAATGTGAGTTACTATTAAAAAGCTATGCAATATTACTTATATTGTAGCCATCGGTCCTATCCTTTTTTATCATACTCTGGGGTCTCTTTCTGTTACTCTGTTACATATAGTATAATTGATGCGCCCCAAATCCTCCAGTACTGTGATCGTCATAAATTGATGAACACATAGGTACTATTTCTCGAACTTTATGGACCATGTACCGACTTGCTTGCTTTGGTTAAGTCTAAGAAATCTCCAGATTTTTATGACTGGGAATGAACTACTTTGTTGAGCTGTTATCTGCTGGCACTCAACTTTCTTAAATCTGGACTAGAGTATTGAACGTTCAGAGACCCTGCCATCTTTTCTATTTAACAGGACAGCAATGAAGCAGCCTGTTCAGTGCATTCTCTATGGCCCATCTCTCATTCATCATATTTGAATCAAGGATATGACCATATGGGATAGCTAAACAATTCATTTATACCTATACCTGAGGTTCAGAAATTTGTCTCTTTATCCCCACCGGATAGTTTATTTGAATAAGCATAAACAAATGATTTTTTTGGAGACCGCTGTCTTTTTAGTTATACAATTCAAACTATGTACTTGGTATGCCTGTTAAAAAAAAACTTGGTATGCTGGTTGATTTGATTTTAGCTATTTTACTTGATTTACAAATTATCTGATGGCTGTGAGTACTAGTTAATAACATCAGATATTTTCTAAGATGAAATGAACTGAAGTATAGATAATAATCTTGACTCCAAGTGAAATTAATTGTACTGTCTTTAAAAAAGCTGGAAACGAATATGAACAACATTCTGTTACGTTTTCGTTAATATCAGTCCGATGATTCTATTACTTAAATTGTGTATATTGCACAATTCAGTGAAGTAACTCTGTGTACATTCACCGGACACTTAATATGGTTGAGTTTTTTTTGCTAGTGCAAATGGCCTAGCAGCTTATAGTTTTTTTTGCTAGTTCTGCTTTTGCGTGTATATTGTTTTTGGTTGCTGTGAAAAGCCTTCATTTTGTAGTGCTTGCTGCTTTGTGTCTTATTCTATTGCGATGAAGCATGGATCGTGTGCGTTATTGCGACAAAAAAAGCAAAGTAACCCCAAAATCTTCACTACCCTAGGTAGTTAATCATTACGTATATCTATGGCCTGATTAATTTATAAGAACACTAGAATGTACATCTGTCTACTTTGTTCCTTGTGAAACAATAGTTCCACTCACATTTAATCTTACCGCATGTTCGTTTTCCTGGAACTTAGATATGGGACACGGCAGGACAGGAACGTTTTCAGAGTCTTGGTGTGGCGTTTTATCGGGGAGCTGACTGTTGTGTTCTTGTATATGATGTCAATGTTACCAAGTCATTTGAAAAACTCAACAACTGGCGTGAGGAATTTCTAATTCAAGTAAGTAGCTTGCTTAGTTGCCGGTCAATCAAATGTACTGCAATATGTATGGTATACTGAAAGTTTGGCCCGTCATTCCTGTTGCAGGCTAGCCCGTCAGATCCAGAGAATTTTCCTTTTGTTTTACTTGGAAACAAGATTGATGTTGATGGTGGTAACAGCAGGACTGTGAGTATTCTTCACGACAAAGTGCCTATTTTTCTTGCTTTCACTTGATATATATACTTTATAATATTTTTGAGATTGTTTGTATTTCAGGTTTCTGAGAAAAAAGCTAAAGCCTGGTGTGCTTCCAAGGGAAACATCCCTTATTTTGAGACGTCTGCTAAAGAAGGCTTCAATGTGGAAGCAGCTTTCGAGTGTATAGCAAGGAATGCCATCAAGAATGAACCTGAAGAAGATATGTAAGCTTACTTCTTGCAGTGGATGCATTGTATACGCAAAAGGAGAATTCTTACTTGATTATTTTCCTCGGAGTGGAGGGCATTTCGAAATAGCAACACAGAGATGCACTAACAGTATGTTAACTATATTGATGTTTTGCTAAATTCTTGTAGATATCTCCCTGATACAATCGACATGGGCGGTGCTGGAAGGCAACAACGCTCGTCAGGTTGTGAATGCTAGAAGATACGGATCCTCAGTGTCGGTGCTCTTCCGGAGTTTGATATATATTTAGTTTGAAAGCTGCTATCTTGTATCGGTTGCTACATATGGTTGTCTAGTATTCACTCCCTTCCAGCGAGATGGGAGAAATTTCATTCGTAAGTTCTGATTCTTTCTATGAGCGTTAGATGATATAGAGCTGGCATTCTTTTTAGTTTTTGCGAGGTTTTGGTTGTCGTGGTGCGTACATATCTCAGAAAGATCAAATATATATTTATGAAGATTGTAAATGTACAGAAGAACGGCCCAACATTCCTGGTTTCCTGTTCTAACCATTTTGATGGTAGATCCAAATCTATAACCATATATGGTTCTTCTTTTACCCATCCTTTTCTTTTCTATTCCCTTCTTCCATGGTATGG